TGTCACTTCAGCTGCCTACTTTTGTTGGTTCTCTTTTAAACACAGCAGTTTAAATGTTACTGAAAGGAGAAGGTGTTTGTCACCAAAATATCTCATGAACCACTAAATTTCATGAAGCTTTCAATAAACAAATTAACTTTTGAAGTCAACCTCATCAAAGATGTATCCAATGTCTATTGACCCTAAAACAAGAAATATGTCATAACTCAGTCAGTTTTACAGATGATGAGCAAGTATTTGATGTGGTAGTAGCTGAGAGTCACTCACAGCACATACCCTGAGCCCAGATTGCACAGGAAATWGTTTAAAATTTTCTCATTAACCTTTCAGAGTCAAATCTGTCTGTCTGTTAGCGCAATATCTCGAGAACCTCAGGGAAATAATATTCAAATGTACGTACACAACTGAATAAAAATACATTGTGACTTTTGTGGTTGTCGTGTTGAAGCTGCTGCAACAAGGTGCAATGKAGTTACTACAGTAACCTGGTTCTGCAGCTTCATTTAAGACAAGCAGACAGAAAACACGCAGACTAAAAAGTAAGCCTCAAACAAACTGTGACTGTGCAAAGACCACAAGTCTTAACTCTAAAATTCTTTAAACCTGAGCAGTGCAGGACTCTGACGGCCACACCAAGTGAGTTTTTAGGTCTTTGCAGTGTCTTATGTAAGGAATATGACACATAGCTCAAGTTAGCTAAAAGGTATTCATAACTCTGATCATAKCTCTGGATATCAAGTTTGTTTTTAAGGTTYAACCAAAATGGCTACAACTTGATCAGCTTTAAAGATAGGGAGAGTTTAGTCTAAAACTTTGGCACAAAAGGCAGTGGGCGATATGCATTCCTTCAAGAAATGTTTAATTTRTTGTCATTTTCATTATGCCACTCTATTTAACCACAAAGACGCCATCAGCTTTCCTTCCATCTTTAAGATAGGAGATATGCTAAACAAGATGGGCTTTTTCCTTGTTTAAAACTTCCATAAAGTGGGATTTTTGCTTCTTTATCCCACAATGCAGCAAAACCAGGGAAGATTACTTGAAGCAATTTGAGCTGAAACTTAAGAGATTTAATCCCATCTTCTGACTTCCTGCCACCATGTGACATCATCTGTAAGGAGTCGAACCGCAGATGTTGGCCTCTGTGCCTGTCTGGATAATCCAGGAAGAAAAACAAATCCCCTGTTCCTCAGGTTGTGTGTGGCRCTGATGAGAACAGCTTTAATTGGATGTACGACCGCAGCTCTCGCTCTCGGCCGTCTGAGCACTTGTTAAAAGGAGAAATGGTCTGTCCATCTGTCAGAAGGTAAAATATCAAGTGGACCCTCTGCTGCTGAACTTTCTAAACGCGGAGGACTGCTGTGRCATGAATTAAGACCTTTTTCTCTGCTGGAGCTCAGCTGGTGCTCCAAGGAGGACTGCGGAAACGCAAGAGCATTGGAGGATAAAAACCCTTCTAAATGGAGCTTATACTTTATATTTATAATTCTAACCCTTAAACAGAGTAGATGTAAATTTTTATTGCACAACAGCTTTGCAGAATACTAAGTGCATCACAAACCAAATCAATAAAAGACGAAACAAGGGCAGATAATAGGTGAATGCAAAAAAAGATGTATAATTTGCCTGTTGACCTAATTATTAGGCCAATATGCAAACTATATTTTTAAAGACTGAGCACCTTTCATCCCAGAGTTATAGGCTCAGATCATCTCCAGTTGTAGCTGTTTTAGTCAAAGCTTAAAAATAACAGGAAGTACAGTCTCATGTAATATTTTAAGACGTCATGTTTACACTGCCTGTTGAGGATGACTCTCAGCTCCTACCGCTTTAAATTTTAGCGCAATACCTGTCAAAATTATTTAGTTAGAGACATTTTTGTGTTGGATGGTTTTGATTCGCTGTGACACATTTTTAAAAAACTTTATGCATTTTTTAAAAAAATAACAAATTTATATACAATAAAAATACAAATCACAAATAAAATGAAAGGCGGCAAAAAAAGAAAAAATCTTATAGTATCTGCACCTTTTTCTTCCCAAAATTAACATTTTTAAACAATAATAGTCTACAAACAAGAAAAACCAAACAAAAACAACCTCAAATATTTGTTGAACAACAATTCGTATGAATAC